TCGGCGGGAGCGCCGCCGCGCTCCCAAGCGGCGCACTGTAGCAGTGCGCCACCGAGCTGGCCCGAGTTTATGTTTCATTTACATGGAAAATTCATTTATGATATATTTGCATTATTAATTTGGAATAAATGAGTTGTTACACACTCTACAGTGATTTTTAAAATAGTATTTGCTGTATACTTAATTTACATTGATTTCTTGTGACGTCATCTCCATCTGCCTTTCATTTGGTTAAATAAATCAAGTAAATATTAGATAAATTAGATATGTAAAGGAAAAACATAGTAAGAAATTGTGTTTGTATTCAGTGGGCATCCTTTCTTTTAAAAGACTGACAAACCTTTTCTTATTCTTTTGAAGACTCAATTGTGATTGCTTGATAGGTAATCAGTAGTGTACTGGTAATGTACTTTGATTTTCTTTGATGTACATTATATTATAGAAACTTAAAATTGTTTCAGAGATTCTGAAAAAATAGTTTCATATCTATACAGAAGGTCTGCTTAAATAACAACTGAAGCATATTTACAATATTTCACATAATAGAACTGTAATTCAGTGATTTTATGATATTCTGTATTTTAAAATATAAAACTGTAGTGGTACAGTTCCATTTTCTTATATAGGATATCTGTTGTATTATTGTGCTATATGAAATTTTTTATTCATTAAATGTTTTTATGAATATATCTTTCAAGGTGTGACATTTGATTGAAAGGAAGTTTCATAAATATAACTATATATGTGTATGTAATATGAGCATATTTCAGAAAGTTCATAGGAAAATAAAATTAAAAGATATGAATCTTTCCATGAACTTTGTGAAGTATCCTCCTGTGCATATATATTTAATTTAATAGCTTTGGAATATTATTAATAGAGAATATTTATAACATATTGCTTTTATACATGCCTATTTTTACATTGTGCTGTATATGTTGTATAAACAATGTCTGGAATTAATTAAGAACTAAAGTACACATTTAACCAGATATTTTCACTGTAAATATTTTCATCATGCAAACTGATATTCATGTTTTGTGAAGTTCTCATGCTAATTAAATGACAGTATTTAACTTATTTTCCTATTTTTCAAATATATTTGAATGCATTGAAGTTTTATGATGAATGTCTAAGGGAGAATATATTGTGACATAATAATAAGGAAAAGTTTTGTTTCTGCAATGGCCAGCATATTAGATATGCCTGGCTTCTGTGATTTTCTGAAGAGAGTTTGTGATTCACCTGATATTATGACCCGCCAATGTTGATAGATTTGCATTCCAATTAATTTATTCATTCCCCTTCAACGTGGAAAACTAGAACTAAAGCAAGTTATTACTAAGAGGAAACTAAATGTAAATACATTTAATTGTTATGTGTTCTATATGAAATTATGTGGAAACATATTAGTAAGTATTTTCATATGCTCTATAGGTAAATTTTCAGTAAATTATTATGTATGTGAATGTTAGAAAAAGAACATCTAGAAATTGCTTAAATATGTGTTTGGCTTTAGTAATAGCCATTACATCTCCATTTATAATTGGTCTATTGAATAAAAATAGAAACAAGAAACGCATCCCATATTGTTTTATCTACCTAATTTGAAGTACACCATGCTTGCATTTCCTTTTAGAGTTCAAGCTCAGCTCTGAACATCCTAGTCCCACTTTCGGTATCACCCTTGAGCATCCACAGTTGTGATTATCGATTTGGGTTTTGAAAGCTGCAACTTAATGGACACATATTAAAAGATATTCCAGGTGATATATATTAAGCCCAACAATCTCTAGTGTGGCATGCTTCCAAAGTTTTTTTTTATATTATTACTTTGAAAATTATCAGAGGTTTGTAATGCATGTGCTTATAATGTATTACAAAAACAAATCTTTGATGCCCAAGTTGGTATTTTGTGATCAGGCTAAGCGAAAATGAAAGGTGGGGGAGGAGGCTGGATGTACAGCTTGATAAAAGTCCTAATGCCATTTTGCTTTAAAATCACAAAATATCATTTAAAATAAACTTGTTTATACAACTTTTTACGCCATACTTGGGACTGTTGTGCTTGAATATATCCTTGCATTTGTTCTTCATTAATATAGTTGATCTATATTTGCATTTTTTGCCAGAGGCATATGTGAATGTTCTAACTGCATGAGTTCTCCTGCGATCTTTGATTAGTGTGTTTAGTCAAAACGACAGCATTTAATTTGTGTTGTTAGCAATTAGTGTTTTTCATTGTAGAAGTGATCATTACTTTTTTTATGTGAATAATCAAAATCTGGGGCATGAAAAGAAAATACAGTGAATGCCATGAGGTCCTTTTATTTCGAAATAAAAAAAAACTTAGCTACATTTACTTTCTTCCAGAGAACCAAGTGCCTGGGTCAATATTTGAAAGTGCTTCTGTGTGTATAAATGAATAATTGTGTTCTGCCCTTTATTATCAAAGTATGCTGTTGTCAAACTGTTATTCATCTGTTAAGTTTTATGTTTATGTTAGGATCTAAAAGAAAAAGAGAACGATGAACTTGATATTCAGCTGAAAGTGTTTGATGAGAACAAAGATGATGACCTAACTGAATTATCACACCGTCTCAATGACATTCGAACAGAAATGGAATATCCTTTGACAAACCTCAGAAATAATTTCATGTGTATTGTGGAAAAGGAATTTCTGGGTGGTTTTGTGGACCATTGTTAGCGTTCTTGTGTGCCAGTCCGATTTATATCCACTTATTTACATTAGAACCTCACTATGATGCTGTCCTTGAGATTCATGCTGAGGAATTGTCAGACTGTCCTGATGATTTACACAAGCTATATTGAAATCTGCACAATGGCTTGCTGTATTATAGGTGTACTCTGCTCAGTGGATAGACAAGAGTCTAAGGCAGTATATCTTACGTGTAAAGTTTTTTGGGGAAAAGTTCACTGAGTTCATATGTAACTATAGCTAATATACCTTCTCAGTTTATTAAATGGTACTCCAATGACTTAGAGATGAAATTCAAATCAAATAAAGGCCTTATTCTGTATTCAAATATTTGTGTTCTTTAACAACAAAAATGTTTAGATGTAGTAGTATCTAACAGTAACAAGGCTGTATCTAACTGTAACAAAACTGTAACCATAGTCGTCCTGTGGCAATGATTTTGTATGAAATGATTTTAGATCTAAAAGATGGTTGTCATAGCATTGCTGCCTATTTGTTTCACACCCATTAAATTTCTTACTTATGGATTCTGGGGAAGTTGGGAAATACTTCAGAACCAAAGTGACCTTCGAGCTATACTTCTTCGTGATGTGTTCTTCCCTCTCTCCCCCCGACCCCACAAAAAAGCTAGAATATTCTGCTCCTTGAAACTCCCACTTTATTTGTTCTATCTTATTTATGTACACTTCTCTGCCCCTGTGAAATTGAGGGCAGAAATGTTATATTTAATCTTTTTTCACCAATGCTCCTATCAAAGTTCTTACACATAGATATTGGATAAATGTGTGTGTAATGAATAACAATGTTATTATTATAACAAATAATTTCTAGTAATTTCTTATCCATCAGAAGTGATGTGAGTTTGCAGTGGTTTCTCTAATATTATATGCTTTTTATATCAATTAAGAAATATATTGCTTTGTATAGACTTCTCTTATAATCAAACTTCACCATAAAGTTATGTTTGGATCCATTCTGTAGCCATTTAAGGGACCTTATGAAATTTTAACGCAACACTTTTACGTGGGGTCTAAGAAATAACCTATCAAATACTCAATTCTACTTTGGACAAGATGTTGACATTTCAGGTTATTTTTAAGATGTCAGATTATGTCTCATCTTTTACCTTTATTTTGCATTGATTTTCCAGCTCCTCACTTTTATTATATAAGTGAATTCATTTTTGAAACCTGTCTTCTAGCTTACTAAAAGCATCTAAACTTCCAGTTTTTTTATATCCTATGAAAAATTTCAACCTCCATTGTCTTTACTCTCCATCTTTTCTCAAATAATGAAACACAAATGAATGCAAACAATTTCAGAGTTAGTAAGTATTTCATATGAATAAAATAGAACTGTTTTTGTGCTCTTTTAGCAGTTCACAGCATGCTCATTTGCCTTCTGTCTTATGTGGCAGTGAAATAGAGGAGTAGTGGCTTGCATGAATAATATAGGTCCTTTATAACAACCCCAAGAAGATCAAGAGAAAATCATTTTCATTGATGGCATTGCTGTTCCAATGGTACCAGTTATAATCTGGACTATAACATACAGTCAATAACTGATCATTTAAGGTTTTGACAGTCAAATGGTCTTGGAAATGCTCTTTAGGTCTGTTTCTCTAGTTAAAAGATTATGATTCCATAGAATCATTTTCTTTATGCAAATGTTTAAATACTGGATCGTAGAGTTGAAGGCTTAGAAACAGTAATGGAAGCAAGTGATACATCTTTGTTTTTAAAAAATTAATCTGGTTTTGTTATGAATGAAACTTTCTTCAAGAATCTTTGTTTTTTTTTCCTTTACTTACTTTCTACTGATATGAATGAAGTGTACCATCTTCTGTATAATATGTTGAAGGACACTGCTGCTGAAAATTACTTATTATCCATTCTACAACATTTCTTACTCATCAGAAATGATTATTATATCAGGTAAGAGGCAGTTCTGAGAGTACTTTGTTTATAATTTGAATTGGATATTAAAGGACAGTGTAGTAGGGCCTGGGCAATACATGTATATATACATAAATAGAATATAAGAGTTTGACTACTTTAAGTTACATTTTTAAAAAGGTGCTCATTTATTTTTATCGGGCCTGAAGAGAGAGATCTACTTATAAAAACAGGGTACTCCAGAAATAGGACTTTTAGTAGCAGTGACCCTGTGATAAATTTTCTTTGCCAGGTAATGGTAGCACAGAGAGTGCACTGAAGATTCTAGAGTAGAACTTTCAAGTTTTTATCTTGTGCATTTTAATAAGTAAGATTTTACTGTTACTTCTCTTTTATATGTATTTATCTAGTAATAAGTGTTATATTAACATATAAGAAAATAATAATGCTTGTATTTCAGTTTTATGTCCAGTAATATAATTCTTTGAAATAAATGAGTATGATAATAACACATTAAGTTAAAAGTTTTAGAATCTAGTAACTGGGAATATATCTGAAAACCGGAAGGTTATTAAAAGGTTTCTGAGTGACTAAAATTATCCACAGGCTGATGACCATGACCTTACCATTTAACTGTTCAAAAAACTCTTAGTTGTTCTTCGTACTCTAATTTGCATGAAATTCTGTCAACCTAGATTCTCTGATTTCTCAAAACCTGCTTAATTAAAGGAAAAAGGAAGGCTACCATGAGGTCAGGCACAGTTGCCATAACAATGACAGCTCTGGGGCAACACAGAGAACTATTACAGTTCAGGCCACTATAAAAATCTAATGGACATCATAATGTTACAGAGATATAGAAAAATTTTAAAAATATTAAATTATATGCTGTTTGTTTTTTAAGCAGGAAAGATGGTAATGCATTAAAAATGATTGTTTTCTAAATTAAGTTCTGACAATTAAAGGGTTACTGTGCCCTATGTCCTCAGTTACCTGGGGACATTATTTGAATGAAACTATCCATTTCTCAGTAACTATGAATAAATGAGAAGTTACTCTCATATGGCATCTTTTTCAACCTAAGGACATCATGTGAGGTAGAAGTGTGACAAGTTCTTTTATTCCAGGATGATTAACCTGGCTTCAAAGAGAGCAGTTGTGTTTTCTGTTTACCCAAAGAATCATGGACTAGACTGAGATTAAAATCCAATATTATTTATCCAAGATCAGATGATGACTTGAAAAAGCCCCAGATGTGTAATATATATTACTATTTGTTATTATTCTTGGGACCAGCCCCATGACTAAAGACATAGAAGAGCAGTTAAAAACTGTTTACCTTCACTTTCAAACTTTAGTAGGTTGGCTAGCTTTCAGCACACTGTATTTAGGGATGTTTATGTCATAATTTATCTACAGTAGTACCTCTTACTTATTTTTCTCTGTTGAATTTATTAGTCCCTGACAAATACTAAATCTTTCACAAATTTTAATGCAAAAGTACCTTTAATTTTTTTTTTTTTTTTTTTTTTTTCCGTATGCAAGTGGTCATTTTAAGGCCAGAATTACCTTGATAGATTACAGAATTAGGATATGTTTTAAAACCTTTGACATTTTAAACAAATTGAGGCTATACCCATGCCTGTTAAATGTATGCTTTTATAAAATGGATCTTATAAAATACTGCATAAATAGATCTTTGGAATAGTCTATAATATAAGTGGCTTAGTTCAGTTTTGTAAGCTGTTATAGCTATGCTGAGTAAAAGTGCTGTAGTAAATTCATGCCACCAATGCCAAGAAACTCATACCTTATTGAAATTGAGGACTTGTGGATGCCTATAACTATTTCTGTATTCATGGATGTAGAACTAATGGGTCGTTTGTTTTCATTAACTTTAGAAACAATAGCTTAAGTAAATAGATAAGCTTAATCAGTATGTTTGAACACAAGCATGAATCCCTGCAAACTAGAGTGTTAAGTCACTAAATGTTTGCAGTCGATTACATCACAAATAGGCTTGGCACTGTAACATCCAACCATCTTTAAGCTTATGCATATTTCTCCTAAGGGAGTGTAATGGCTAGAAAGAATTTTTTATTACATAGCTCTCGGAAAAGACTTAGTTCATTTAACATGCTGAATCCCTTCTTAAGAAAATTGATTTGTATAGGTAGAAAAGGTATTCATGAATACTCTCTGTTTTTCAGGCCACAGTATTATAAAATAATTGAGGAGTGTGTTTCACAGATAGTGCTGCACTGCAGTGGTATGGACCCAGACTTCAAGTACAGGCAAAGATTAGACATTGATTTCACTCATCTGATAGGTACGTAATATTGTCCTCACTGTCCTTTGATTGTGTTTTATACCTTCTGTATAATAGGCACTTTTTAAAGGTAGTTTCTCATTGAATTTCTATTAATATCTGGGAAATCGTGTCTGTGGGTAATCAATTGCTATAATTGTTAATTATGATGATCATGAGAGTTCTGCTTGTGTGATTAGAAATATTAACCTGATTCATAAGTTTCAACATTCCTGAATTCAGTTTAAACTCAGTGCCCCACAAAAGCCATTATATTATTATAGATGAATGTCTTACTTTTTAGAAGCATGACTGTAAAAACCCTTTAATTCAGTTTATACTGGTACCTTAGTGGTTTTGTAGAAATCATTTATACAACAGGGTCTCATTAGTATTATAACTATATTATTAGTATTCAAGTTTGAGAAAAAAAAATACAATCTTATTTTAACAACTTGACACCTTTTAAGGTTATCAAATAGATAAATTTATACTTTCATAGACCTTAGAGCTAGGAAAGAATTTGAGGTGATCATATTCATCTCCTCGGATGGCTGAGGTAATGACCTTCTATCATCCTAGACTGGTAGTTAGCAATAATTCCCAGAACAATCTCTGAAGGATGATGTGAAATCTCCCTTGTGAAATATGCTATGCTATATGGCCTTATAGTTAAGCAGTTTTATTGATACTTAATCAAAATCACTATTGCTAAGGTTCAAGCATGAACTCATTTGTCTTGTCTTTAAAGAAACAAAACAACAGCTGTTGAATGCCAATTATATATTATTTTTTACTCCATAGCATAGGAAAGACTCACAGTAATGTTCAAAGATGGATGCCTTATTATTATTTATCATTTATTATTATTTACTGTTTTTAAACATAATGCACACTTGTAGGCAATCTAGAAACTTACATAATTAGCAAGTCACCAGTCACATCATCATTGCTACCTTTTCAGCTCAGTACATTTCCCTATATCTCTCTATCTTTCTATATATCTATCTATATGCTGATTTTTCATGGCGCATTATATTATAAGAATTTTTCCATGTTAACCTTCAAAATGCGACTTTTAATGTCTGTATAATCCATTTTATGGACTGTAATAATCATCTTAACCAGTCTTTTATTATTGTACATCTAGATTGTTTTCAGATTTTTGCAGTTATAAATGAGTCTGCTGTGAACATTCTTGTGTATAAATGTTTGGCTTTTTCTCATTATTTCTTTAGGATTGATTCCTTTAAGTGAGGGTATGAACTTTCAAAGGCCAAATGCTTTTCAGAAAGCTTGTGCCGATTTACTTTGCCCCAGCAATGAATGTGAATGCTAGCTTCACTGAATATTTTTCAATAAGCTTGATAAACTTAGTGGTTCATTTTGTATTTTGTTCAGGGAGTCATGAGGGACTATTTTCAAATATGTGTATTGGCTTATAATCCATTATGAACCATAGTTGGCACACATAGTCTAATGTTGATTTTGGCTGGCTTGCTGAGTGTTCAACAGATATTTGTTTTGTGTACTGTGCGCCAGGTACTTATGACTGTATACTGTTAATCAAAAGCATTGGGGTGAGGAGAGATGAAGGGATCAGGTGAGAGGATAGTCAGCATCATAAACCCATTATGACCTCATACACATGCCAACTCTGTGATTGTGAAAAAATCACTTAACTCCTCTAGGTTTCAGTTTCCTGAACCTTAAAGTCAGGTAAGTCAAATATATGAGTGGTTCTTAATATTTTGTGGTCAAAGTCCTTTTTGAGAAGCTTATCTTTCATCAGAAAACACACACACGCACACACACACATATGTGCATACACACAAATTATCAGGTATTTCAGGAACTTTTAGGAAATCTATGGCTCTCTATTTTAAGATCACTTGTACCTGAGGAGATTAGAGTCTCTTCTGATTTTATAATTCTGTAAGTCTACTATCTTTTATAAATCAGATCATATCACATCTCTGCCTAACACTCTCCCATGCCTTCTCATTGAAATTTAAAGCAAAATCAAAAGCATTACCAATGATGGCTAACACAGCCCAGATGTGAGCACTCTCTTTGACCTCATCACTTACCACTTTCTTCCTCAGCTGCTTTGCTCCAGCCACACACTAAGAAAAAGGTTTATTGAGGTAAATTTGACATAAGAAAAACTACCCATTTTTAAAGTATATGATTTGATAAATTTTAATGTTATTATCTGTACTTAAAACCATCATCAAAGTCAAGATAACAAACATCTCTATCAATCTCTAAAGTTTTCTGCATTCTCTTTTTAGTCACTTCTTTCCATGCCTCCCACTCCTCTTCATCCTGAGATAGCCACCAATCTCTCTTACTAGTTTCATTTTCTAAAATCGTATATAAATAGAAACACATAGCATGTACTCTCTTTTGTCTTTCATTCGGCATAATTATTCTGAGATTCACCCATGTTTTTGTATTGAATATATCAATAATTCATTCCTTTATATTGCTGAGTAGTATTCCAGGATGTGGATATATTATAATTTGTGTCTACATATACTTTTTGATGGTCATTTGGGTTATTTCCAGTTTTCTGGCTATGATAAATAAAGCTGCTATGATCATTCATATACAAGTATGGGCACAAACATATGTTTTTATTTCTTTTGAGTAAATAGGTATGGAATAGACTTTAATAATAAGAAATACAATTGTCCAAAAGAGGTTCTTCGGTTATTTTATTCTGAAGTCTTTGATTGGACCTGAGAAGTTTAAAGTGTGTTTCTTTATGTGTATGGTACATTTTGCCCCAGAATAGAAATTAAGTAAAATCTTTCACTAGGAAAACCTGAATTAATGAATGCTATTTTTCCAGCTTTTTTTAAAAAAAAAATCATTTGGAGTCCTAATACTGTTAAAATGAAGTCTTTGCCACCTCTCCATCCACCATAAACTACAAAAATATTTTGAAGAATTCTATAATTGTGAAAGTTGAAAAATAATATGAATACCTTTAAAATGATGATAATTTAGTCAAATATATTTATGGATACTTGATTTTGTGCCTCAACAGTACTGTCATTGAATTTAGTTAGTATATGTTAAAGAAATAAAATGTGGTAGTTTATTTTTCATGTGTGGTATAGGTCAATTTCCCTTTAATAGCAATTGACATAAAAATGATAGTCTGCATAGTAGAATTATAGGTTGGCAGCCATCTTTTGCCTAAACATCTTATGCCATAATTTCTAATCACTTTCGGTTGATCTTAATAGATTCTTGTGTGAACAAGGCAAAAGTTGAAGAAAGTGAACAAAAAGCAGTGGAATTTTCAAAGAAGGTAAGGCTTGTGAAATATTATCCATAATTGTTAAATTAATAATTTAATCACAGGACGTATTATACCTTGTTTCTTTATGTGAGGTCTTAAAAATTTTGTTTCAGTTATGTAGTACTTGATATTTCTAAATTCAAACATAACCACAGGATATTGATTTATTTACTAATAAGTTCCCCCCTCATCACCTTTAATCCATTATGGAAGAAAAACTCTACTTATATCATACTAAAGTGATAAATGAAATAAAATTAGGTTGCTGAAAGGGCATAGTTAGAAGCAATCAACCAAAATAAATCCCCCCATTGCTTTCCTGTATTTCTCACTTATTTACAGTAGGTAGTTCTTTGGAGAACTGTGAAATAGTTAGCTAGTCTTATCTGTATGGTCTTTAAAGTTAGTGCTATTGATAGCAACAGAATGTTGCAGTGTTCTCTCTCTTTCTCTCTCCGTCCTTCTCCCCCCACACCATTCCTGCTTAGACTTAGTTTCTTTTAATTTTATAATTATCATTTTTTAAATGATACTGCTGCTTAATGTAGGCTTGGTGGAACTTGAGGTTCCCCCCTTTTTTTCTGTGTAAATGCCTTGCAAGAATGCCTTTGAGTAAATGCCAGCTTTATGAATATCTTAATTTTATTTAGATCTAAGATTGTCTTTTTCTTGTTTCATGAAAGCATAGCCACAATTTTACTAGCTTCTACCACAAGTTTTTTTCTTTTTGTTCTAGATCCTATTAATCATTAGTATAGTATTTCTCTGCTCTTGAGTGCAGGGAGAAGGATTGAAGCACAAGTCTAAAAGCTCTCCAGTTTTTACCCTTCTGACAGCAAGATAAAGTGCTTACATATTGCTGTCTCTTCAAAGTTATGACTTACCTTGGAGATGAGATAATCACTTTGCTGTTACTCTAGAAATTATAGAGTATTACTGAAGTTACTTCAGGGCATCTGAAAAAGCTACTAGAATAGATTTTAAGAGCTTGAGGATAAAATGTTTGTGTGAAGCTGTCATTTTTATTGGTGAAAGAAAATGCTTGCTTTTTGATTAATAGACATTTATATTTCTAATGTTCTTGTTTTAAGTAGCACATTTAAAATTCCTTTTGAAAATCTAAGAATCTCCTTAAGTTTTGGTTGGCACTGTGATTAGACACCACAGACTGGAACAAATTGTGATTATCTATCTAGTAAAGTTTTCTTTAAGAATATATTATAGGAAAAGGCGTCTTGAAATAATAGAAAAGAAATTTCTGTGTTTGATGCTTTAGTCTCATCACCAACATTCAGAATGAAAACATGCATATTCTTAGTGGTTATCAACATGCATTCTCTTGTTCTGGGTCATTTTAAGAGGCAGTATTAAGTGGTTTTTTAAAAAAGTGCTAGAATGAAAGGTAGTATGTATCAGATTTGATCTCAGCTTTTCAGCTAATTAGCTGTGACTTTAAGTAAGCCACTTATGCTCCTTGGATTTTAGTTTCTTCATCAATAAAAGGAGAGGGTAAGATTAGTGGACTTGTAAGAAGACCTCTTCCAGCTCACATAGTTCAGGCTTCTGTGATTCCTACTCTGCTCTGTATGTCCACAGATTAATATAATTTTATATATTGATTTATTTTCAAGTCTCTGTCTTATTGGCACCTCTATTTATTTATTTTTCTTTCTTTTTTTTTACATTAGGTGGATTTTTTATTTTGGTAAAATATATATGACATAAGGTTTGCCATTATAAGCATTTTTAAACTGATTAATGTAATTTAAAATTAAAAGTGAAAACATTGTGTACGTTTCTTCAAATGTACCAATAAAACATGTATAGAGGAAAAGTTGTGTAGTGTGTGCTTGTGTAGACACCATGTTTGAGAAGCACACAGGAGAAACTAACTTTGGGAGGGGGGATGGGGAGTATAGATTCATGGTTTTAGATGGTTTTGAAATTTAAAGAGGTTAGAGAAGATTTGGACCAGGCTCTGTGGGACATTTTCCAGCGACTCAAGTAGAGATGAATAAAAGTATCAGTAGGTAGTATTTCAGGTTTTACCCAATCACTATTATTATGCAGTTTGCTCATTCACTGATTCTTTGGACTTAGATCAGAATGGCATTTTAAATTTTCCAAAGGTCATATCTACTATAAGTATGAATATTTATTAACAGTATCATACTTTTGTATTGTTCCATAAACTCTGAAGACAGTTCTGGATAGTAGAAAGAGAAATAACATTGCTGGGATAGGGTATAGACTTCCAAAACGACTTGAGGTGACATTGACAATAAAGGGCAAATAAAATGTTCTATAGTCAGACATAGGCAGTATTTACTGTAAATATGCAGGTTGTTTTGTGCCTGCTTAGAGCCCTGACTAAGGTAAGGGCTGGGGCAGGATGCAGTAAATAAATATTTGCCACCCAAACAGTCTTTTTGGCTTAGCACACTGTATTTTAACCTTTCATTCTCCCTCTCATAATGTCACACAGTGGTTTGATTAACCATCTGAAGGAGAAAGCTATTACAGCATATATCATTCTACCTTAAGATTTTGTGGAGCACCACTTTTTGGATGCTGGACAACTAAGATTGTTATAGAAATCTTCCAGTTCATATGATCGTACATTCATTTAAGCATTCTAAAAGCTCAGTCTCTTTTCAAGAATAAAAACAGTTAAGGAGTTGAAACTCCTTGATGGAATACTTTTAGATTTCATTTTCTAATTCATTAAACTTAAATGTATGGGATGAAACATTAAAAACATTATTAATTCTAAAATTGAATTTTCAATAACAAATTAATAAAAATACCCATTATATTTAAAGAGAGACTTCTCAGTCCCCTTATTTATTTATTTATTTATTTTGCATTTTTTTCAGAAGTGAAAATGTGTGTGCTTACCTTGAGTGGGGCCATATTTTGTCTTTACTACCAACCACTACCACCACAAGCAGTACCCCACCTCCACATGGTTACTTAACTGTCTTGAAAATAATCAGGAGCTCTGATTTTCTGAATGATCTGGGAATCCAACTAAAGAAAAACCACTCTACCTGTTGAATACATAATGTTGTTTAAGGCTCTCTCAAAAGTATGTTATTAACAGTACATTTATGGTGGTCATCATTGCAGTTCGATGAAGAATTCACAGCTCGACAGGAAGCTCAAGCAGAGCTTCAAAAAAGAGAAGAAAAAATCAAAGAACTTGAAACAGAAATCCAGCAACTTCGAACACAGGTAATGAAAGAAGATATAGACTTTGTGTCATGTCAGAGTGAGTTTGATGGTAGAGAATTATCTTGTTAGATAGAAGGAAAAATGTGACCAGAAGCAGATTTTTGGTTATTTCACATTTTAGTTGAAATACCTCCATGGATTTGATTTTTCAGGACAATAAATTATTTTAATGTTTGGAAATATAATAAGGTATTAGTAGCTCAAACTGCTCTCAATATTTTTAGCAGAATATATTACACAAGCAAAACTGCTTTTGAGATGAAATTTTTATGATGATTTGAAAAACTGAGTGCATAGTATTTTCTTTCAAAAAGAATGTGGAAATGCTCATTAATTATAATTATCCCCAAAACTTCTAGAGATCTCTTTAAATCTCAACTACCATCATTTTTAAATCTATAAACTTTACATTTCTACCTACATTCCCTATAATGAAAAGCTCACATATACACTTAAAATGTTAGAGTATCTAAAATTTAGAACTGATTAAGTACTCTTTTCAACACACTCTGTGTCTTAAATGAATATTAAGAAATTGAAGACATCTTAACATAGTGGATGCTCAGTAGGTGTTTGTTGATTGACTAGTTCTATTTCCATTAATCTACTGAAAAATTACTTTAAAAGTCACCAATAGACTCCAGAACACCCAATGTGATGGCCGTTTCCTGCATCACTTATCTCTACCTTCTTTTCACTAAATCTTTCTCTCTCTCTCTTCTGACTTCCTTTTTACATGTCTGAGAACTCAGTTTCTCTTTATTTTTTCATCTCCCAAATGGTGACATTACTCAACGTTCTGTCTTCTGCTCTTTTATCTGTATATCCTTGCTCTAATATCCCATTCAGTATCATACATTCAAATATCACCTTTTACTAGGTGTCAAGTACTCTTGAGTTTGTCTTATATTTTCAGCTTCTGATTAGCTATCCCCATACGAAGTTCCTGCTGCATGTTGAAATCAAATCCAGTATTTATGATCTCTTCTCTTTCTTCAAACCAGCTTGTTCTCTATTCTTATTTGTTTAAATTTTACCACCATTTTGTCAAACAGTGAAGCTGGAGTTTTCTTTCCCTTTTTCCTGTCCCACCCCCTCACAAATTAAGCTAGTCACTGTTTTTTTTTTTTTAATGTCAGTTCTTTTTCTTTTTTCCCCCTTGCGTCAAAACCCAGGACCCCCCAGGTCCACTCTCTTGTTACATCATGCCTGGAATTATACAATTGTTTTCTGTCTTTTCTCCCTGTCTGTAGTCTCTTCCTCCTCAAATTTATCCTTTATGTCAGTGGCAAATTAATCTTCCTAAAACACTGCCCTGATTATTGTCACTCTGGGCTTTAATATGTTCAGTGGTTGCCTGTTGCAGTCAGGATTAAATAAAATCTCCTTACCAGGAATTTTAAGTCCTTCTAGCATGGGCTCCCTTATCTCTCTTTTGCAGCCTAGGCTCTGACTGCTCCCCTCACTGCAGCCTCTGTTACAGCTAAGTCACCTTTCCTCCCTTCACATTCGGAACTTACTGTCTCCACATTTTTTCTTCTGCTAGCATTTCCCAGACATTAGTTACAGAGATGCTAATAGGGTTTTCATGAGGAACCTGGTCCAATATACTCATTAGAATATTAAAGGGTCCAAGATGTCCTACTTTGAAGAAACCTAACTCTTTTTCATACAGCTTTCCCAGACTCATTTGACCACAGAACCCTTTATCTCAGAACACCTGTTAACATCTCCTGGAAATAGTATTTTCATAGAACTTAGCTGAGAAATGTTGGTTTATGTTATTCTCGATCCCAAATGCCCCCTCTTGCATATCTTTGCATGTGTAAAATATCCTTTAAGGTGAAGCTCAGTAGGATATCCTTTGCAAATCTTCGCCAAAAACTCCATTAGGGAATTTCTCTGAAGTTTCATATCACTTTTTAAAACCACTAATATTTGCTTGTGTGCCCATTCTATTTTTTCCACTTGAGCATAAGCACCTTGAGGACAGTATATTTCTAATTCTTACCTTTATCCAAAGCTCTACTGCACCCAGCACAGGGCCTCACTGCTTAGGAAGTAGTTGCTTATTCATTGTTAACTGTAAAAAGCGCAGTCATGCAGCACTTTCTACTGTGTCCAAAATGGCATAAATTATTCAATTGTTAATACTATATTATAGCCTAATTTAATTGTTCAATTTCTAATTGTTCATAGGGAGAGGAGAAAAGGTTTGTGGTTGTATAAGTTCCATAACATAAGTATGATCTAATAGAGGCAAAAATTTGACTGATGTTTGCAACTATGTATTACTTTAATTTTGCTGCTTATTAATAAAAAATGGACACACATTTTGCCTTTCAAAGTATTCAAAAAAATCCATTTATATACAAATGTTGTAGGATAAATAACTAATTTCCTGAACTTTACATTTTTCCCTCAATTTCTTTGATCTCAACCAAGACTGTGAAAGTCGGAAGATTTCCACAGTTTTACTGCATTAAAAATAAAATTAAAAGAATTTTGCATATTTTAATCCTGTCTTTAATTCTTCCTAACCTCCGAAAGGATTGCATTCCAGGAGAGAACAGTCATTTGTTAAATGTAACGTTTAACTTGTATATGTGTCTATATACACATAAGCATTCATATATGTGAATAAAATATTTGGCAGTGTGCATTGAATGTTACAAGAAACATTTCCACGATCATGTCTACCTATGAGTGTTAACTTTTAATATTTTTGTAAATAAGTCAGTTCTTTATATTATTTTCCCAAAAATATGCTTCAGCTTATTTTATAAAGATATTCTAAGTTTAAATTAAATAGTACAAGTAGAAAGTTTGTATTAATAAAGGTAAGAGGAATTTCTTCCCAAATAAAAATAACACTACACCAAGAAATTTTGTTTTAAGCCTTTTATACAGTTAATCTAATGTTATATCTTGATTACAAAAGATGCCTATTCGTTGGTAGTGATTTTTAAAGAATGTTTATAATGAACAGCTCCACTATTACATTCATTTATTTTAGAAAGAGAACCATTGTGATCAGTAATGGTTTAATGAAACTGGTACAGATGAATTACCAAAACACAGGACAACATGGAATGCAGTGTTCTCCTTCATCTGTTATTCATTGTCATTGGAGAATGAGCTTGAAGTTACTTTCTACAAATATAGTAGAAATAAGTTATACTCTCTTCATGATCCAATCTGTGTGAATTAATTCTCCTCATGGCAAATGACACCCATTCATGAAGAGGTAGTTTGTTGTAGTTGAAAGTGGACTGCGTTAGGTGTGAGAAGAACCACATTGAAACTCTAGTCACGTTTCAGTTTGTGCAGCCTTTGGTTAGTCATTTAACTTTTTTGCAATTAAAGTTTCCTCATCTATAAGCAGTGAGATAAAGGTGAGATAAAAATACCCTGTTTACATTTCAGGGTTATGATAAGGATCAAAAGAAATAATAGATTTAAAAATGTTGATAAGCATATATTACTCTGCAAATGGATGCTACTTAGTATTAATTATTGGTATCAGAAGACAGCTAAGTTACTGGTGCTATGAAACAGACTCTTTGTGTAAAGCTAATTGGTCCCCAAGGGAATCGAATGCATGACCTTGTATTAATTATCCCATATTCAAACCAACTAGTATAACAGGCCCAAGCCATATACAGTGCTTCTTCTTTGCATATATTTATAATGAAAGGTAATTTCTCATTATTTTGGAGGAGTATTTCATAATACTGGAAAAGTTGGAGGATGCCAACTTTCCTAGCTTTAATGTGTTAACGGAAAGGAGTCGCTGTCCATAGTGTATAATGCTTATCAAAAATCTACACAAGTCTTTTTCATGTACTCTTAACCCTTAGATGTTGCTAAATATTTAAGATATGTAGTAACATCTATAGTGTATATAATCTTTAAAAAAACAACCACAAATGTCTACTGATATGTGTTCTTTCTGCTATCTTTTATTATCAGTATTTAAACTTGGATTATTTATATTTCAGGGACATGGACTCTTAGGTTCATCAGGAATTCCAGGCCCTCCACCACCTGCACCAGCACCACCTCTACCCGGAGGAACTCCTCCTCCCCCTCCTCCTCCTCCACCTCCTTTACCTGGAATGATTGGTATTTCAGCACCACCACCACCACCACCACCACCACCTTTGTTTGGGGGACCTCTTCCACCACTGCTGCTTGCAGGAGTTCCTCCTCCCCCAGGAGCACCACTTGACCTACCTTATGGAATGAAGCAGAAAAAAATATATAAACCTGAAGTGTCCATGAAGAGAATCAATTGGTCAAAGGTAATACTATAACTAGAGTTTTTTGACTAGCCATGGGTGATTATTAATGTGTGAATAACTGCATTGCTACGTAAAAGTTATAGGTGCTATATAATGTTTGAGACTGTGACTGCTTTCTCTTTTGCTTTCCTTTGTAAGATCAACATATTATGTCCATCTTTCAGTCTACTATCTAGATAAATGATAACTCCCCAGATAGCTTGAAATTATGAAGAAAGCAAAAGGAAAATTAAAGTGGTGTAGAGAATAATATTTGAAATATATTTACAAATGAAAAACCATTTTGATTCTTTTGCCATTGTTACCTTTGAGTACTATAACTTTCTTAATATAATCTTTTTTTTATTAATGAGCCTTGTTATCTTATTTTCATTCTTACAGAATGATTTTTTGGGGGGGGTTTAAACTTTCAGATGGTGTGGAATAGTTTATAATAACCTAATTTAGTAGTGACATAACCTAATTATTTTTTGATATGATATATAAAAATATTCTCTTCTGAATGTTATTTTGCTTCGTTATTATTATCAAATAATATGTTTCCCTGAAAAGGTTATAAAGATTGACACAGTTCTCATTTTGTGGGAACTAATCTTTTAACAAAAATACATTTACCCAGACCACCATTTGGGGAAATGTCTAATCAAAGAGCATACTTAGAGTGATATGTGAAAGTGTTTATGTAGTAAGTTGGTTTGACCAGAATGATGGTTAAATCAGTTTTAGGAGTTAAGCATATACCTGTGCATTGCTTGTAACAGTAAATGAGGTATAAATGGATTTACAATGTACTTGTTTTTAATTAGGCACAGTCTACCAAAATACAGGATCCAGAAGCTGTTGGCCCATTTATGTGTGTGTGCAAATGCAATATGTTTATTAATTTAGCAATTTAGCATATAGTATAGTGGTACTTACATATCAGAAAGTATGATGATGTATACTAGAAAATGCATAGTTGTAATCTTGGGTTTCATTGTAGTGGCTAAGTGCACAATTATCTGGAGCTGAACTGCCTGGGTTTATCTTTTATTTTTCTATTTTATCATTACACATGTAAACATTTTTTGTGGCTCTTTACCAATTTATCTCTAGCTCCCTCTCTCCTTCCAACTTTCCCACCTCTGGTGGCCTCAGTTCTGTTCTCTCCTTTTGAAAGTTCAAGGAATTATTGTGATTGTTGTATCTTTCTTTCCTTTTTTTTTTCTTCCAGTTCCTACTTTGAGTGAGGACATGCATATTTCTCTTTCTGTACTTGTCTTATTTCATTCAGTATAATTTTGTCTAAATTCATTCATGTTGCTGCGAATGGTAGAATTTCATTCCCTTTTATGGCAGAGTAGCATTCTGTTGTGTATATATACCACATTTTCCTTATATAGTCATCCGTTGGTGGACATTTAGGTTGGTTCCAACTCTTAGCTATTGTAAATAGAGCTGCGATGAACATGGGAGTGCAGGTATCCCTTCGACATGATGATTTCCATTCCTTTGGGTATGCACCCAGCAATGGGATTGCTGGATCATATAGCAGTTCTATATGTAGTTGTTTAGGGAATGTCCATACTGTTTTCCATAACTGCTGCACTAATTTACAGTGTAGGAAGGGTCACCTTTACCACATCCTCACCGGCATTTGTTATTGTCTGTCTTTTTATACTGGCCAATCTAATTGGAGTGAGGTGATACCTCAGTGTGGTTTTGCATTTCCTGGATGCTGAGTGATGTTGACCAGTTTTTCATATGTCTGTTGGCCATTTATGTATTTTCCTTTGAGAATTGCCAATTCAGCTCCTTTGCCCACTTTTGAATTGGGTTATTTGGTTTTTTACAGTGTGGTTGTTTGAGTTCCTTATATATTCTTGATGTTAATGCCTTGTAGGATGCATAGTTTGTGAATATTTTCTCCCATTCTGTAGATTTTTTCTCTCTGTTAACTGTTTCTTTTGCTGTGAAAAGCCTTTTAGTTTGATATAATCTCATTTGTTTATTTTTTCTTTTGTTGCTTGTGCTTTTGGGATCTTGTTCAAAAAGTCTTTTGCTTAGTCCTACTTACTGAAGTGTTTCCCATATGGTTTCTTTTAGGAGATTTATAGTTTTGGATCTTATATATAACCTTTTATTCCACTTTGAGTTGACTTTGATATACTGCGAGAGGTACAAGTCTAGTTTCATTCTTCAACATATGGATGTCCAGTTTTCCCAGCACCACTTATTGAAGAGACAGTCTTTTCCCCAAGTGTACGTTCTTGTTGCCCTTGTCAAAGATCAGTTGGCTATAAGTATAGTGGTTGATTTCTGGGTTTTCTATTCTGCTCCATTTGTCTGAGAATCTGTTTTTATGCCAGTACCATGCTGTTTTGGTTACTATAGCTTTGTACATGAATTTGAAGTCAGTTAGTGTAATGCCTCCAGCTTTATTTATTTATTTACTTTTTGCTCAGGATTGTTTCAGCTATTTGGGTCTTTCGTTGTTCCATATGACTATTAGGATTGTTTTTCTATTTCTTTGAAGAATGTCATTGGCATTTTGATGGGGATTACATTGAATCTGTAGATCACCTTGGGTAGTATGGACATTTTCACAATATTAATTCTTCCAATCTAAGAGCATCGAATGTCTTTCAGTCTTTTTGTGTCCTCTTTAATTTCTTTCAGCAATGATTTGTAGTTCTCCTTATAAAGATTTTTCACCTCCATAGTTAAATTGATTCCTAGGTATTTTATTTTTTTGGTGACTATTGTCAATGGACTGGCATTCTTGATTTCTTTTTCTACTAGTTCATTATTGGAGTATAAAAAAGCTACAGATTTTCACATGGTGATTTTGTATCCTGCATCTTTACTGAAAACGTTTCTCAATTCTAAGAGTTTTTTGGTAGAGTCTAGGTTTTTCTGTGCATAGGATCATGTCATCGGCAAATAGGGATAGTTTGAATTTGTCTTTTCCAACCTGGATGCCCTTTAATTCTTTCTCTTGCCTGGATGCTCTGACTAATACTTCCAATACTATGTTAAAAAGGAGTGGTGAGATTGGGCATGCTTGTCTTGTTCCTGTTTTTAAAAGCTGAAAGCTTTTTCCCATTCAGGATGATACTGGCAGTAGGTTTGTCCCATATGGCTTTTATTGTGTTGAGATACTTTCCTTCTGTATCTAATTTGCTAAGAGTCTTTGTTATGAAGGGATGTTCAATTTTGTTAAGTGCTTTTTCTGCATCTATTGAGATAATCATATAGGTTTTATCCTAGATTTTGTTGATGTGGTGTATCACATTTATTGACTTGCATACACTGAAACATTGTTACATCTCTGGGATGAATCTCACTTGATCCTGGTGTATAATTTTTTTGATGTCTTGCTGTATTCTGATTGCTAATATATTTTTGAAGAGTTTTGCATCTATGTTCATCAGAGTTATCAGCCTGTAGTTTTCTTTTTCTATTGTATGTTTGTCTGGTTTTGATATCAGGGTGATGCTGGCTTTATAGAATGAGTTTGAGAGAATGGCCTCTTTCAATTTTTTGTAATAGGTTGAAGAGAATTAGTCTTAATTCCTCTTTAAAGGTTTGGTAGAATTCAGCAGAAAAGCCATCTGGTTCTGGTCTTTTCTTTGTGGGGCAACTGCTGATTACTCCTTCAGTCTTATTGCTTGTTATTAGTCTGTTCGGGTTTTCTATTTCTTCTTGGTTCAGTCTTGGTAGTTTGCATGTGTCCAAAGACTTACCATTCCCTCCAGGTTTTCAAATTTTTGACATATTGTTGTTTATATTAGTCTCTAATGAGTATTTGTGTTTTTGTAGTATCAGTTGTAATATCTCCTTTTTGGTTTGTGATTTTTGGGGGGGCTGTCTTTTCTCTTCTTTTTTTTTTTTTTTTTTTTTTTTTTTTTTAGTTAGCCTAGCTAATGGCTTGTTTAGTTTATCTTCTCAAAGAAACAACTTTTTGTTTCCCTGATCTTTTGTATCATTTTTTGGGTCCCTATTTCATTTAGTTCTGCACTGATCTTAATTCTTTTTTTCTGTTTACTAATTTTGGGATTGGATTGTTCATGTTTTTCTAGTTCATTGAGGTGTCTATTATGGCATTTATTTATAATCTTTCTATTATTTTGATGTAATTGTTTATTGCAATAAACTTCCCTCTTAGTACTGCTTTTTCAGTATCCCACAGGTTTTGTGTAGGATGTGTCTTATTTTTTTATTTGTTTCAATTTTTTGATTTCCTGTTTCATTTCTTCTTGTACCCATAGGTTATTCAGGAGCATGTTGTTTAATTACAGTGTAATTGTATAGTTTACAGAGTTTTGCTTGTTATTGATTTTTAGTTTTAACCCATTGTGGTCTGAAAAGTTACTTGAAATGATTTCAGTTTTTAAAAATGTGTTGAGACTTGATTTATGACCTGACATGGTCTATCCTGGAGAATGTTTCATGTGCTAATGAGAATAATGTATATTCTGTAGTTGTTGGATGAAATGTTCTATAGGTATTTTCCAGGTCCAGTTGGTCCAAAGTGTAGTTTAAATCCTTTGTTTCTCTGTTGATTTGTTGCCTAAACGATCTGTCCACTGCTGAGAGATGGGCGTTCAGGTGCCGTACTCTTATTGTATTGGGATCTATCTCTTTCTTTAGGCCTAATAGTGTTTGCTTTATATATCTTGGTACTCCAGTGTTGTGTTTATATATATTTATGATTGTTATGTCTTCTTGATGGATAGATCACCTTATCATTAGATAGTGGTCTTCCTTGTCTCTTCTCATGGTTTTTGGTTTAATGTCTATTTTATTTGATACAAGAATAGCTACTCCTGTTCATTTTTGGTTTCCATTCATGGTATATGTTTTTCTATCCCTTCACTATTAGTTTTTGTGTCTCTTTATAGGTGAGGTGAGTCTCTTAAAGGCAGCATGTAGTGGGGTCTATCTAGCTTTTGAATCCAATCACTTGGTCTGTGTCTTTTGATTGGGGAGTTTAATCCATTTACATTTAGGGTTGTTGTTGAAAGGTATTGTCTTACCCCTGGCATTTTATTGATTTTCATTTGAATATTGTAAATATCTTTTATTCTTTTCTACCCCTTTAATTTGTCTTTGATGTTTGTTGGTTTTATGAGGTGGTAATATTTAGTTTTTCTCTTATTTGCATTTTTGTTCTACCATTGAGGTTTGTTCTTTCTTGTGTTTATGTGGTACTAATTATTGTTTTTTGTATTCCAGATGCAGGACTCCCTATATGACTTCGTTCGGGGCTGATTGTGTGCTGGTGAACTCCCATAGTTTTTGTTTGTCTGGAAAATATACTGTTTCACCCTCATTTTTGTAGGATAGCCTTGCTGGGTGTAGTATTCTTGGCTGGCAGTTTTTCTCTTTTACCCTTTTGAATATATCATCCCATTTTTTCTGGTCTGTAGAGTTTCAGTTGAGAAGTTTGCTGTTTTCTGATAGGGGCTCCCTTATAGGTGACTTGATGCTTTTCTCTTGCTGCTTTTAGGATTCTCTCTTTGTCTTTGAGCTTGCCAGTTTGAGTATAATGTGTCTTGGAGAGGATCATTCTGGATCAATCTGTTTGGAGATCTTTGAGCTTCCTGGATCTAAAGGTCTGTGTCTCTCTGTATACCTGGGAAGTTTTTTGTTATTGTTTTCCATGCTTTTTCCTTTCTTCTCCCCTTCTGGAATACCCATGATTTGAATGTTTGTGCATTTAAGGTTGTCTGCTAGCTCTCTTATATTTTCTTCATTTTTTAAGTCTTTTTTCTTTTTTTGTCTGTCTGGGTTATTTCGAAAAGACTATCATCAAGAGCAGAAAATCTTCTGCTTGTTCTAGCCAGTTGTTTAAGCTCTCAGTTGTGTTTTTTATTTAGTTGAATGAATTTTTCAGTTCCATGAGTTCTGCTAAATTCTTTTTTGAGGTATTGATCCCTTTGTAAATTTCCTCCTTCATATTCTGGATTTTATTTTCTTCTTTATTTATGTTGTCTAACTGAGTCTTCTCATATCTCATTGAGTTTCCTTAAGAATGTTGATTGGAATTCCTTTTCAGTCATTAAAAGTGTTTCCTGTTCTATAGGGTCTGGTATTTGAGAATTACTTTATTCTTTTGGTAGTATCATATTTTCTTGGATTTTCATATTTCTAGTATCTCTACATTGATGTTTGGTGATCTGGTAGAGCAGCTGCTTCTTCTGTCACTCTGGAGTGGGCTTCAAGGAGATAGACTTCCTCTTCTTTTTCCAGTCTCTGCTGGTGACTCTCCTTGTGTCAGTGCAGTTGAGTGTCTGGCAGGCCATCTGCATGGTGGCTGTGGCTGTCACTGTGGTGGTGAGCTGCTTTTTTCGGGAGCCCTTGCTGTGGTGGTGGTTGTGGTGGGATGCCTGCATGGAAGTGGTGTTTTCAGCATGGTCTTGCCTGCTGCTGGGCAAGGAGTGCCGCCTATGGCTCTTGCCTAGGACCCCATGCATGCTCCTGCCTTCTGCCAGGCTGTGGGGTCAGACCCCTGCTCCTTTCTTTGACCCCATACATTCTCCTGCCTTCTGCTGGGAGGTGGGGGGTTCCCATGGCTCCTGCCTAGGACCCTCTGTGTGCTCCTGCCTTTTGCCAGGTGGCATGGGCTGCTCAAGTCTCTTGTCTAGGACCCTGTATGTGCTCCTCCCTTCTGCCACATAAAGGTTGCTGTTCACAGCTCCTGGCTAGGACCCTGTGCATGCTCCTGCTTTCTGCCAGGTGGTAGGAGCTTCCCACAGCTCCTTGCTAGGACTCCATATATGTTCCTCTTCACTGCATGAGTTTACATCTCAGCTGTGCCATTTACGAGTTTGGGAAGCCACTTAAACTTTCTGGGGCTCAGTTTCATCATCTTTAACATGGAGATAATAGTAGGTCCTGTGTTGAAGGATTATTGTGAGGCTTAGAAGAGTTAATATATGGAAATCACTTAAAACAGTACCTGGCACATAGTAAGAGGTATGTAAGTGTTAGCTATTATTATTGCTTTTGCCCTCAACCTAATAAGTGAACATGGGGAATTCACTTTTCTGAGTTTCAGTTTCCCTATTTTCAAAAACCCAGAAGTAAGAATGTATGTGAGTTGGGGGAGGGATTTACTAAATTATTTTTAAGACTCCTTCCAGTAGTAAAATTTTCAAAATGTAATTTGCGCTACTACCCATTGCTTTCATGTAACTTTTCTGCACATCAATAGAATTCTGAGTTTCCCAATGAATATTTATTTTAAAAGTGTTATTTTTATAGATACTAAAATTGATTTAGGTGATAGATGAATAAAGGAACTGTCATTCAACCTTGCTGAAAGTGAATTCTTTGAATAATTAAATATGAAGTAATAATTTAGAAATTTAACTTTATTGTTTTTGTTTCAGATTGAGCCCAAGGAATTATCTGAGAACTGTTTCTGGTTAAAAGTTAAAGAAGAAAAGTTTGAGAATCCAGATCTCCTTGCAAAATTGGCACTGAATTTTGCTACCCAGATAAAAGGTACATTTTATTTTTTTTAAACATAAATTCCTGATTCCAATATACTGAAATTCAGAGATTTGCTAAAAATTTCTGGTAATGTGCATATGTGTAATTTTCCCACAGTGGACAAATGAATAGAGTAAATTAACATAGTAAGTGTATTTTCTCTACTAACTAAAGGAGGAAAGATACTTTTCTTTTGAATTTTATTTTGCATAAATGTTATTATTGTTCATCTGAAAAGATAAGTTTTAGTTTATTGTATAATATGTGTGTTATATCCCTTCATTGTAAAATTGTCATTTTTACTGCAAAGCAGAGGCGATGTATTTGTGTACCATATACTTATCAATTTGGTTTCCTCGGAAATTATATAGTTTTTCTTATAAGTAGATTTTCTGGTACCTAGTATGTATAGTTTGCTGATTTGATAATAGAGTGCCTTGTTTATGGTAGATTATTAAACTCTTGTGAATTTTACACATAATTTTGGTACTATGCAGGTAACTTCTCAGTGTCATAAATTAATCATTGTGGCTCATGAATTTTTGGTATTTTATTTCAGCATGACTGTTTCACTTCTAATTATTGCAGAAGTGAGAGTTCAGTTAAGCATAGAAATTTTTTCTGTCTGAATAAGTCTTTACAACTAAGAAATGTAAATATTCCATAGTCTCATGCCCTTCAAATTAGCAGCTTTACCATTCATTTGTCTGATTTGTCACAACATGCCCTAGAATGTGAGAATGTGAGTTTTGGAAGATTCAGAGAGAGAAAGAGAGGTGAAAATTATTCCTTTTCAGCCCTTCTATCATATCTTGCACACTGGAGGTGCTTGTGTTGTGGTTGTTGTTCCTTGAAGGTTGAAGTTCACACTCACACAGAAATCTGCTGTGATTAGAAGATTCTGTAGAGTTTTGGCATTTAAAAAAAATTCTTGCCATTGCATCTACATATTTATTTTTTTTATCTTATTTGGTATAGTAGATGTTACATGTAAAGGGTTCTTCAGTGACTTCAGATATTACTATTTATTATAATGACTTATTAAAATTGAAAAATTGCTTATAGCAAAGTATTCATGCTTATAATAAAGCCTTTATACTTTATAGCAAATAAAAATTGTAGAAAAAAAATTTCTGTCCTAGACTTGCAACTTCTTCCGCATACAAAATTATTATTACTAATTTCTTGCATTGCCTCTTAGAATAGTCTGTGCTTGTAGAAGCGTATATGTATTTATCGTTTTTTTGGTTTTTATTCCTTGACATTTTTATTAAATACACTTGATGCACTTCGAGATTATTCCATAGGAGCTTGTGTGTATGTACTGTGTTCTTTCTACATATTGTATAGAACTATGTGGTATGGACCTACCTTAATTCATTTAACCAGTACCTTGTTAATATATATTTAGATTAGTTCTAGTCTTTTGTTATTTCAAGAAATGTTGTGGTGAACATGTTTCTACTTATGCCTTTGTGCACCTATGTGGGGCTATCTGTTAGATAAATTCTAGAAGTAAAATTCGTCATAAAATGCTATGTACATTGGCTGGCTGGTTAGCTCAATTGATTAGAGTGCAGCCTTATAACACCAAGGTCATGGATTTGGATCCCCTTAGTAGGTACTGGCCAGCCACCAAAACAAACAAAATTTTTTTTAAAATATGAAAGATATTACAAAATTGTCTTCCAAAGAGTTTGTGTCATTTTACAGTGTCACCAAGAATATATATGAGTATCTGTTTTCCCCCAACCTTTACCTATCTCAGAGGTGAACATGGTAAATCATTGGTGTTATAATTTTTACTTTTCAAATTGGGAGTGTGGTTGATCAGCTTTTCTTCTCTTCATAGACAATTTTATTTATTTTTTTTCTGTGAACTTCCCTTTCTAGTTTTCTGCACATTTTCTACTTGCAGTAACTCTTTTGCTTCTTGATTTATTTGTATTGAGTCCTAGAAGAATCATAGATTTCATAAAATTTTAGAGTTAATTTGGAATTTACAGGTGATTAAGTTTATTTTACAAATGAAGAAACTGAAATTAGAGACAGAGAAGTAAGTGCAAAACCCATTAGAAAGTTTCTAAGGGTGGTGTGGTATAGTAGGAAATCCAGAGGAAATAGAGGCATATATACTTGCAATCCAGCTGTGATACTTACAACCTCAGAGACTGAATTTTCTTATCCGTAAACTATGTACACTAATGTTTACCTAGTAGTGTTGTGAGTATTAAATAAGGTTATATATTTAAAGCACCCAGCACAGTGCTTGGTATGTAGCAGGCATTTAATAGACATTAATTCCCTTTTCCCTTCCATATAACCTGTTATTTGTGTGTGTGTTTTGTTTTGTTTTGTTTTAGTTACTGACACTTAATACCACTCTTAATTTAGCAAGAGAATGTCCTGCTCTTCTGTGCAGCAGTTGGTAGAGCTAATCAGTTACGATAGAAACAATTCTTACTGTAGCTGCCATAACTTAATCAAACCAATGTAAAACTGAAGAAAAATTATATAAAGGCTCTCGCGTTTTCACTGCTGAGAATACTGCATTTACATTCCTCTTAAGTTTGATTCTCTGCATTTCCTATGTGACACTACTTGTACTTTTCTAATTTTGAATATTTAAGTACAAATCAGTTGAGGGGCACCTTTCATTACCATTGCTTTTACTAAGATTTATTACTGAAAGGACATCTAAGGGATAATTAGACACCACAGTGTATTCCAGACATACATAGTATAGACAAAACAAATTTTAATGATACAAAACGTCCTTTTAAAAAATTAACACTCAATAACTATTGATTGATCTTACTGTAATAGCGGAAGTACCTTGTCATTCTCAGTGTCTTCATTCTTCATGTGGTCAGTAGGTGGCAGGATAAGTAAGAAATCAGTAGGAGGCTTTGGCTCCATCAGACTTAAACTGCATTGTCCTGGCTTTCCCAGCTCTGGGGCGCTACTTTCTTTCCCATTCTGCCGCTCCTTCCAGCTCACTCAGCTGCATCCTGGAAGGAGCAACACACTCATTGTTTCTCAGACCTATTTCCCAACCTCCTAGACCCAGTGAGGTCCAAAACCTCTGAGGAATTCCCCCTACTGCAAGGGTGTTGGAGAGTTCATGTCTCTGTTCTCACGAAATGCACTGTAAAGCAAGCAGTACTAGTCTATATTTTCAAGAAAATGTTTAAGATTTTAAAGTAGCTTAGGATTGCTAAATAGAAAAAAAGCTTTAACATACACTAGTTCTGATATCTGTAATATTTAAATGTATAAATATTTGATATGTGAAATACCATAAAATTATACTATTTGAATTACTTATTCTTAGAGCTTTAATGACAATTATTTTTAAAGTTGTATTATAAAATAGGTTATGTTTTAGGATAGAATGGAAAACTCATTTCATTTGGCTTAAGAGTACCTTCTATGTGCAAGGTACTATACTAAATGACAGGGAATGAATAAGTTCTTGTTTATGCACCAGGGAACTCATAATCTAGTGAAGGAGGTAGTCAAGTTGTAGTAAATGCTGGAATATTTCTTAAAAGCTATGGGAGCACAAAATGGCAATAGTTAATTTTAAGTAGGGTAAATGGAGATGCCAGAGGTGGTATAATTTGAGCTGGACCTTGAAAGTTAAGTAGAATTTCATTATAGAAAGAAGGGAAGATGGTATTCTAGGCATAGAACACCACTAGGAGAGTATTAGAAAAGCTTGAGACAAATTAAATTTAAGACTTTTTTTTTTAAGCAAAGAATAATTCATGAATTGGGCAGCACTCAGAACCAAAAGAGGTCCAGAGAGCTCCACCTAGCAGTGTAAGCAGTAATCTTTTATAGACCAAGAGAAATTATCTCATTGGCTACAGCTAGGCATTTATCTTATTTGGACATAGTTCAATGAGGCATTTGCCTTATTTGGATATGGTCTGATCACTTGGCTGCCTGTGATTGGCTGAACCTTAGCTGTTTATTACAAAACATATACTCCTAAATTAGGTTTTGGTTTGTTAGGTAAGAACTCAAAGTTCAAGGACAGTAGCCTCCTGTTGATTTAATTTAATAGTGGGGAAGGTTGAAGCATATACTGTGCTGAAAGTACAGATAGCAGCCTGCTGGTTTGGGACTGTACAGTGAAGAGACTTGGGTGTGAAGGTGGTAAGGAGAACTTCACACTAAAGAATTTGGGTTTCATTTTTGGAGCTTTAGAGGCCCAGCGATTTGATGATTAACCCTTGAGCAGGCCTTTGGTGGACAGATTGATGATGGGAATTTACAGATAGATGATAGATCATTAATTGTGAATAAATATCAGTAGGCTAGGCAAGATATTATTATATCCTGACCAGTATGATTTCTTAATTTTCATCTCTAAGGTCTCTTCTAGTTTCCAAATCCTGTGTTCTTGTGCTTATGATGTTTAGGTTTTCCTTATAAGCCATAATGATGTCATATGACCAAATATATTTCAAAATGCTCTCTGGGTTAATGAAATATGTGTATTAAGGGCAGTTGGAGAAGACCCTTTTAGTACTTTGGAATATACATTATGTATGTAACTTGGAATTTGTATATGTGTTCTAGTTTTAGTTTATTATTCAATTGATACTTGGGGACATGTAATCACCAAGGCTATAATGATAGTGTCATTTTCCTTAAAAAAATCTATAGTAATTATTGATAATAGTGATATTATATAAGAATTAAAGTAATGATGGTTAATATTAACTAAATTCAAAATAATAATAAAATATGTAGCTTATAACTACTAATTCTAATTAGAATTTCTAGGGTTCTCCAGAGGCCTCAGGAAGAACAAAGATAGTCTGTGTGGAAGTTGTAAGCAATTTCTTTGGTTTTAATGTTGCTTGGAGGACATATAAGAAATAAACTAAGAGGTGAATAAAATTTAGCTTCTTCAATAATATATTTCTATGGTGCAATTTAGTTTTAATAATAACAGAAAATTGAGGTGTTATAAATATTTCGAAGTCATATAAATGTCA